ACACACACACACACACACACACACACACACACACACACACACACACACACACACACACACACACACACACCTCACTCAGGTAATTCCAAAACAAGGGAAAGAATCCCCGTGCGAAAAGAACAGAGAGCGGCTTTTTTTTGATGTTGACAAAAATGACTGCGTGTCAGCTCTCCAACAGATAATGTTGGAGATGAAGATGTAAAACAAATCTCCCAGAACACAAAAAACTATGAGTTGAAAAAAAAAAAAAACAGTCAAAGGTGAAGATGATGAGATATCGTTGAGTTAGCGTGGTGTGTCGTTTTGTGTGTCAAAGCTAGCTGGGGGGTTTCCCGGCTAGCACGTGGGGGGGGGAACGGGGAGGTGGAGGCTGGGCACTCAGCCGTCGGAGATGGGTGGGGACACCCAGCCGTACTTCTCGTGGGTCTTCACCAGGGACTTGAAGGTGGCCTCGGCTTCTTTACGACTGAAAGCTTTCTTGGACTTGCCTGATTTCCTACAAATGCGACCCTGTTGGAGACAGAAAGCAAAGGGACGGGAGATTAGGTCTGTGTGGACAGGAAAAGGCTTTACTGTCATTAAACAATTTTAGGTCACTTAGTGGGGCTTTGTTATCAATGCACACCATGAAAGACTTGAACCACTGGAACTATTTTTCTGAAAATCTTCAGTAATCAACCGATTCATTGTTGGCTTTCACACAATTCAAGATGGCCACCCAAGTGAACTGACAATAGCAAACAGAAAAAGGCTAAAAGTTATGTATTTTTATAGCTTTTTAGCTTAAATTTGGTCTCGTAGTAACTGAGCATCATCCCCAAATCATACTTTAACAAAATATTTCCTTCACTTGTCAAAGAAGCTGTTTTCTTATTGTGTCTGTCTGGCAGATAAAATAACGATAAAAAAAACCCAAATTATAAATGACATTTTGCCAAATGCACATTAAAACAACACTGAATTGTGTACAAATTGGTACCATTCTGGTATCCTTCAAGGTATAGCTGGAGTATAAGAACTTTCTTGTCTTGTACTATTAGCAAAAGCTATGGTCAGTGGTTCTCAGCTAGTCTGGCTTCAGAACCTACTGTCATCCTTTTATGACAAGCCATGAGCAAAACTAAGAAAAAATGATGAGCTTTTTTAATTTATTGAATGAGCAAATGGTTCAGTTTGAATGAGATAGCAAAATAGAATACTGCTTTATGCTGACATAAAAAACAACTTTAATGATAAACTAAAACCTACAGAGGTAATTGTTCCCTTTTATACACAATTAGCTGCATTTTGAATACAACCAAAACTCTCCACATCATCACCAGTTGGAAAATATTACTATCCAAGTATGTTTTCACGTTTTCTCTTCAAAATGACACCAAGAAATCCTCATCAGAAATAACTAACAACTGGATTCAGTCAGATTTTCCAGGGGGTGATGATCCTGGTTAATGAGACAAATGAAGCCACATCTCTGGATGATCAGGTATCAAAATGTAGCCTAAAAAGCTGAGAATCTGAAAATGTGCTGAGGTTAGTTTGACCGAATCTGACTTTATCCATGATTTGATGTGATGGGTCACAAATAATTTCATATGACTAAAAAATTTGTGGCTTTAGCTGGGTGTTTTTTGAAAACATGTACATTAAACAGTGTTTAATAAAATATTCAGACACTTATTTAAGACTAACACCAGTTTTTTTCTTAATGGTTATTTTAAACCAGGCAAATGTACTGAAAACAGATTGTAACAGATGCTGTCATTGATTACCATCGAGTCATTTTCATTCAAAATCTGCCAACAATTTGCCAATAACTGATAGTCATCAAGATAACCTGATAATTATGACATCTCACCACATTTTCTACAAGCAATAGTTAAAAGTCAAAAGGTAATCAGTTTAAAACTGAAACAAATGAAAAATCTAACAACTTGGATGGCAACAAAGCAAAAATTAAGAGTTACTCCCCACACATTTTCAGCTCTGGTAAACCCCTCGCATCTCGCAGTTCATCTTTTTTTTTTTTCCAAAAAATGGCTCTTTGGGTTATTTTCAATCACTTGATACTTGCCATACAGGAAAAAAAGACATATAATCATTTATACATAGAACAGCCAAGAGAGACTTTTGTATTTTAACCACACAACATGTGGAGAGAGGTTGCTTTACCGCCATGGTCGTTGACAGTGAGATGAACTAACAAGAAAACCAAAGGACATCTTGGATGATTTGGATACATTTTTTGAATGAATGTATAGATGTGATAGAGGCGACTGTAGAATTCATGAATGTAACTATTTAATAAACACCAGACTATGAATTTGACAAAGAAAAAGCAGCTCTAGTTATACAAATCAGTGTAATCCATATGCTGTGGGAAACAGAAACGACAGCATAAAATTTAACGTAAAGTAAGTTTTGGCAGGGCTTCAGAAGACAAGTGCAAAAAATCCTGTAGTGTGGGGAAAAAAACTTTGAATTGTTGAGCTGGAGAGGTCGAATTACCGTATTTATTCATGTATTATACGATCTCGAGTATAATACGATCATCATTTTTTAAGCTTAAAAAGCATAACAAATCTAATCATAAACAACCCATGTATAATACTACCCCCTACTTTATGGATGATTTTTAGACCTAAATTTCTAGTATTATACATGAATAAATACAGTAACTCACAAGAGAAGATGGACGATGAATATTCTTGTGCCGTTACAGCCTGAAGATGACCCAACAGTATTTGCTGCCAGACAAAACTCCTCTAATGGATACGGAAAAATGATTAGGAAAGAAAACTGAGGAAAACATTGTTTTGTTTGTTTGCAAGCTTCAAGATTAATCTTGTAATTCTGAGAAAAAAACTCAAAATAGTGTTTTCAGACCACTGCTCAAATGATAAAGATTGCTATGAAACATTACGAAAATAATTTGCAAAATGTTTTTATATTTTGATCCTATTTTAGCTCTTTTATAAATAACACTAGTCAAAAAAATTCATAAATGCGATTTATCTTCATTTAAAAGGCCCTCAGTTGTCATTACAGCTTAGCATGTTCTTCAAATTCATCAAACGTCATCACCAGTTCATGTCAAAGTATTGCTGTTTGCTGTCAGATCCAATGAAAGACGGTTCTCTTGTTTTGAGGTTTGTCAGTGGTGTCGTCGAGGATCATACTGGAAACAGTTTCCAGTCCTCCCAGCATGAATATCTAAAGATAGAAACTCAGCCCACACGTGTGCACATCGACAAAGATAATGGCGAATACACTGCTGCGGGGGAGATGTTGACAGGACGAGTGGTCCTGAACGCAGGCTGACCAGCATCCCATCAATGATTAAAGGCAGGGGGAGAGCTTTTAAGACGTCAGGTTCAGGCAGAAGTGAAAACACAGCCTGCAGTACGCCACGCAACGGGGAGCGGGGTGAGGCCACGACGATAAAAGATGAAAAGGCTGCACACATGGAAGAATGTGTGCTCTCGCCTCGCTCGTGGCTCGGTGGGAAAAGTGTTCGACTTGGACATTTTCACCAAGGCAACATCACGCTGAAGTCCACCGTCCCTCCCACACGAAATGAATAATATATGTGGGAGATGATGGTGGGGGAGACAGTGAGAAGAGGCGTGGGCCTCCACCAATAAAACGGCTTATTTTGATACTGTCAGCAGGGCCAAGTCTTCCCGGAAGAAGGCTGCGTAGGAGGGTGAATAGAGAAGGAGACAACTGCCTTCATGGTGGAAAATAATGCTGTAAGACACCCATGGCCATGCCAACAGAGCCTCGATAAGAGATGTGATCTGTATCAGCCGTGTTAGTCGTTTCATATATAAAACCCCATCAGAAACATCACAAAACAAAGGTCAAACAAACCTTTCCTCCTGCACACTATGTCCCTGATTGGTCATACTGCATTGACGCAGACATTTTTAACAGGTATTGACTCAGTAAACAGAATAATATGATACTTTACTGAATTTGTTTGTACACTCTAGTACTGCACCCTCTCCTTCGACCAGTGTTTCTTGGCAGAAGAAAATGGCATCAAGGCTTTGCTTGAAACCAATACTAATGAAATTTCCTCCGAGGGTTTGCTCTTCTGCATGCTGCAGTGCAGTGCAGAGCAGAAAAAAAAACACAATGTCTTTATACCTCCATACTGTGCATCTTAATCCCAGAGGTCTATACTCCGGTTTTGCCTCTCTGGGAAATAGTATATAATAATAAAGTAAAAACAAAAAAGTTGTTATTCCAAAGTTGAAGACATTAATCACTGTGTGATTCATGGCCCCAACTACACTACAACAGATACTGTTTTCCTCCAGTTGACAAAAACCTCATTTTAGATGATTCAAACAAATAAGTTAAAATATCGCCTGCACCTCCACCACCACTTGGTGGCGAGCTCGTTCACATTAAAGGTGCAGTATGTAACTTTTCTAAAAATATATTTTTAACATATTTGTTCACTCTGTCACCATCTCCTGACAGATTGAGATTAGACAGGTAAGCTATGGAGGAAAAAAAAGTCCTCTTGCTTTTCCCGGTGGTACTACAGGCTTTAGA